TTCAGTTTGAAGTGAAACATTGTATAGCAATATATTAGAGATCCTGGGGCAAGTTCAATCTAATTCAACTAATAAATATTGAGCACATGTTACGAGTTCAACACTGTTGGGAATACAAAAACAAATTTAATCTGGATGTTAATGCTGGGAGAGAATTTAGGAATAATTTAATACAAACCCTTCAATAGACAGAGGAGGAAATTAAAGGTCCTGAGAGATGAAGTGGCTTTCTCACAGTGAGTAGATAAGTAGTAGAGCCAAGATTAGAACACTTCCAATTTGGTATTCCTTGCATTGCCTCACACTCACTGCTCCAAGGTTTTACAAAAGATACAGTTTTTACATTGACTAGAACTCATGTGGCTGGGCTATCCCAACAAAGCAGGTCGGGAAAATTTCCGTGATAGTCAGCATCTCAAAATAGCAGCTAGTCACTGCAGCTTTGTTCCCAACTCTGGAAGAATGAAAGAAATTCTAATTATACAACTGGCACTGGACAAATAGTCCCTCTCACCAAACATTTGAGAGCTAACTATGTGCCTGGTTCTGTGTTATACCTTAGGAATATAAAGTAGACCCCAAACAATCCTTGTCTTTAAAAAACTAATAGTGTAGTGAAGGAAATAAACCTATGAAGAGATAACACTAGTAATATTACATAGCCAAAACCAATGCCTAGGAAAATGCATTCCAATTTTTTTTCTTTTTTTCATCATTATTTGTTAAAATTTTGTTATAGTGAGAGTGTTTTGGCCAGGACACAAATACCCAGATCTTTCTTCAACACCCCTCCAAGAAGTGCCCGTGGCAGAAATTTGCAAAAGAAACAATGGCAAAGCAAAGCAAAGTTAGCCCTTGACTCCAAACCTCAATGCAGAGAAATAGGATAGTTTTAGGGGAGCAGTCATTACGTTGGTCTAGTTGGGTTTAAATGACCTGGCCAAAGCACCATGTTACATTCAAACCCAGATTTTAGATCTTATTCTGGTTGCATGGAACAAAAATGTGTGTGTGAGAGAGGGTGGACCAGCTGATTCAGCCTCTGCCATTGTGGGTCAGCCCCACTCTTAGTGCTCTGATGGCCTGAAAGAGAGAATCACAGAGAGCCCCTGCTGCTGATATTTTACACTGGGAAATCCCACCACTAGCAAATGTGGCCTCATCAGTGACTTTAAAAGCAATAAGCACCTCCTCTTTACTTTGACAATTTGGTGCCCTTCCAGAAGACATTTCCTCCTTAGAGTATTCTGTTTTGTTTTGTTTCCTTTTTTTAGTGCCAGATAATCTCCTTGAAAACTTCACTTAAATTTTATTAAAAAAAACATTCTTTTCTTTTTTCTTTTTTTTTTTTTTTTCGAGACAGAGTCTCTCTCTGTTGCCCAGACTGGAGTGCAGTGGCACAATCTCTGCTTACTGCAACCTCTGCCTCCCAGGTTCAAGCGATTCTCCTGCCTCAGCCTCCCAAGTAGCTGGATTACATGTGTGCACCACCACTCCCAGCTAATTTTTGTATTTTTAGTAGAGAAGGGGTTTCACCATGTTGGCCAGGCTGGTCCCGAACTCCTGACCTCAACTGATACACCTGCCTCGGCCTCCCAAAGTGTTGGGGTTACAGGCGTGAGCCACTGCCCCAGCCCAAACCATTAAATTTGGATCAGTCCTTTTCATTATATCATATCATCTATTATACCCAGACTAAACATTAGTGGCCACCCTGTGAGGTGCAGATAAAAACAATGTATACTCTCAGTTTCCTTTCCTTGAGTTAATAGAAAAGTTGAAAATTTTAACAGAGGAGCTGATCGTTCACATAGAGCTTTAAGTGTTTTTAGATGGGCCATGAGAAGTAAAGCAAACATTTTGAATTATTACAGCTCTACAATTCTAGTGTGAAATGATTTTTATTTTTTAAACTTGTTTGCCCAGTTAACTTTGGCATTACACAAGAAATGGGCAATCTAACAGAATCTGATGATTATCTCATGAGGAAATACAGCTACCTACATTAGAAAGCAACAACATGGCAACTTTCTTCTTAAGAGCTTTTCTCTTTTAATCTTACCTCTCCATAAATACGATCTGAGTAATCTATAACTCTAGATACTTGCTTTTTAAAGCTTAATGCTTTTAATGACATTGGGCTCATAAATTTTTGCATGTTAAACCTCAATGGTTCCCCCAAAACACATTTTTGTTCTCCCATAATAACATGCATTTAATGAGCTTGTTTATCAGATACCAATCTGCAGGAAAATTAATCATTTTATTTATGTACTCAATTCAATCCAACATACATCGATTGCATGCCTACTATGTGCCAGGCCCTATGCCAGGTGCTGGGAGTAAAAAGATGTATAAGACAGAGTTCTTGCTTTCCAAGAATTCAGTGTGTAAGTATAAATAGACTAGATATCTATAATAAAAGATTGAAAAATGCTATAAGAGCAGTAGGAGTATAGTACTGAAGGAGACAGAACATAGAGGCATAATTATTCCTGGGTAAAAGGGAGAACGGGGTTGGAAAAGAGAAACTACTGGGATTGGTGCCATTACCATATGGCTGCACCCATGATGATTTTGAGATTCTGATTTGATGTGCTGGTCTAGCTGCTGCTTCTCTCCCCTTCACTAACGATTCCAAAATTCATAATTCTTCATATAGCTCAGTACTTTTTTTTGTATTTCTTCCTGTGCCCCTTGTTCTCTTCCTCTTTAGCAAACCACCTTTCTTCCTTGTTCATAGAGCAAATTGTTTCTTTCGTATGAACAACCTCAATTTCCTGCTCTCCTTCCCCATTCCATCCCCCCACCCCCAGTGTTTTCTATGAAGATATTCTGGCCACAAGTTTAAAGTTTAGACACATCTTCCAGTGCTTCTAGTGCTCTGGATTACATGAATTCTTGCTCCTTGGAAGAATTTACTGCGTCAATGATTTTCTCCTTTTTTGTATTTTCATCCTTTCCCTTTGGCTTCTTCTTTGCATTCAGATGTCCTCAAATGTCTCCCATCTTTAAAAAGTAACACAAAACCTCCACCTCATTTTTTACTTTATTTTTTTTAATTTATTTATTTTCAGATGGAGTTTTGCTCTTGTTGCCCAGGCTGGAGTGCAATGGTGCAATCTCAGCTCACTGCACCCTCTACCTCCCATGTTCAAGTGATTCTCTTGCCTCAGCCTTCCAAGTAGCTGGAATCACAGGCATGCGCCACCACATCTGGCTAATTTTGTGTTTTTAGTAGAGATGGGGTTTCACCATGTTGGCCAGACCGGTCTTGAACTCCTGACCTCAGGTGATCCACCCACCTCAGCCTCCCAAAGTGCTGGGATTACAGCCATGAGGCACTGTACCCAGCCCGCCCGCCCGCCCTCCCTTCCTTCCTTCCTTCCTTCCTTCCTTCCTTCCTTCCTTCCTTCCTTCCTTCTTTCCTTCCTTCCTTCCTTCCTCTCTGTCTCTCTTTCATTTTTTTTTTTTTTGTCTTGCTCTTGTCCCCCAGGCTGGAGTGCAATGGCGCAATCTCAGCTCACTGCAACCTCTGCCTCCTGGGTTCAAGTTATTCTCCTGCCTCAGCCTCCCGAGTAGCTGGGATTACAGGTGCCTGACACCACGCCTGGCTAATTTTTGTATTTTTAGTAGAGACAGGGTTTCACCATGTTGGCCAGGCTTGTCTTGAACTCCTGACCTTAGGTGATCTGCCCGCCTTGGCCTCCCAAAGTGCTGGGATTACAGGCATGAGCCACCGTGCCCAGCCATTTCTTACTTTAATAACCCTGTCTTTCTACTCTCTATCAAGCTCCCTGACAGAAGAATTTACCATTTATTTCAATGCTGACTACTATTTGGATACTTCTTCCATACTTCACTAAAACTTCTTTGACAAACTTCATCAATGCTTTCTTGTCAAATTCAATGTTGTCTCTTCAGTACTACTCTTACTTATCCTCTCTGTATCATTTTATATGGTTAAATATGCCTTTCTTCTTGAAAGTATCTTTTACTCTAGCTTTCAATATACTGCTCTTTCTAGATTTACCTTTTACTTTTCTATTATGTCCTTTGTTGTTTTCTTTTGACTTCCATTTACATCTCAAGGAGTGATTATTGGCTCAAATAGTGAAGATAGATAGTCTTTTAATACTCCCCAAAACACATGGACTACACATGGGAGCAGTGTCACCAAAGAGAGAGGAAATGATGCTAGGTCAATTCATCCATCTTATATCTCTACATCTATTTAATTTTTTAATTTTTTCTTTTGTCTGCTTAGCACCATAGGGTGGTATTAAGCTCACTCCATAACTCCAGAATTGGGCAGATGATTTCAGTCTGTCCAATCAGAGTTTTCTACTTCCTAGTTATAGTAATTGGACTAAGGATGAGCAACAAGACTATTTTCTGAGTCTTTTATTACAACTACAGGGAAAGAAAATGGCACAGTTCTGCTGTACCTGAAGTTTGGGTAATGTATATGTAGTGTTGCCAGGTGTCACTGTAAGGAATAAGCCTGCCTGACTGAAGAGCAGAGTCAGAAAATAGAGATAAACTAAATTCTTACAATATCATTTGAGTACCTGGAAAGATCCAGCTGTCCTAGGAGCCAATTATTAAATTGGTCTTTTCAGTCACTTAAGATCACAAATGGTTATCATTATTATGATGATGATTATCATCATTATTGCTTAAACTTGAGTGTCTGTTTACAAACTTGGAATCACAAAGGAAAAAAAGGTCCTATCTAATAAGGTTTTCCTGACTTCTAGGCCCTTGCTACTCAGTGTGGTCCCAGAACCAGCAAGATCATATTGCATGGGGGTGCATTAGAATGCAGAGTCCCAGATTCTACCCAGACCTAATGAATCAGAATAAGCATTTTAATAAGATTCTCTACGTGATTCACTTGTACAATGCAGTTTGAGGACTACTGTTCTTGGATCTAACAGATTTTTTCTCTCTCCCTTTTTGTTTTTGGTTCTCTATGACCGTCATGTTCACCTGGGCAGGGAAAATGTATCCCAGAGATAGCAGAAGAGAATCTTCCTGACCAGTTGACGATCACTGCTTCACATGTCCTGCTTCACGTTTTGCATCCACTTCTGTGGTTTTTGCTACCACCTACAGAAGATTGACTTCCAAATGATGCCTACCAGAAATGTGAACCTGGATGTTCCACAGTGTCTGAAATGCAATTTCTAAATCTCAGTTCTCTCACCCTCCCTCCCTTTCTTCCTAAATTGTATTCTTAGTAAATGACACCTATTTCTCTGGTTTTAATTTCCTTACCTCTCTTTTCCCCTCCACTGCAATAAGCTCTCTGGCACTGAAACTTGAACTGATGTGATCACCAATGAGCTCCCTATTGACAAGTCAATCGTATCTTACTAAACCTCTCTGGGTATTGACGATTCTATGCTTCTTGAAGCTGTTTCCTTCCTGGTCTTTCTTGTTATGATCCACTTTTGGTTTTCTTGCTCTGTTTCTGACATGACCTTTTCATTTTCCTTTGTTTATTTTTCTTATATGGCCTGCCCCTTCACATTGCTTTGCCTAGAACTGTGATCTCAGCTCTTTCTTATTCTACAGTCTCTGGGCAATTTCGTCTAATCTGTGGTTTTTATAACATATTTAGCAAATGTTTCTTGAGCATCTACCAAATATCAGTGCCTAGAACTAAACCTGAGATATACTGGTGGTGTCTTTTTGAATAAATGCATGCATGAATGAATATTCCAGGCGTTATTTGTGGTAGATGCTGGAGATACATATGTCAATAAGATTGGGTTTCTTCCTACCCTCGAGCCAGCCACAGTGGCTTCACATCTGTTACTCCGAATTATGTGGAGTCACATCTGTTACTACAAATTATGGCTTACTCCTGAGCTCCAGACCCACATATTCAAATACTTTTTTGTATTCTCGTCATCTTGTCCTCCATGTACCTCAAGTGTAACATGTTCAATGTTGTACTTCCTTACCTTATATTTGTTCATGTTATTTTACCTGACTCGGTGAATAACAGCATCATCTGTCTGATGGCCCAAGCCAGAAATCTGAGGTTCTAACTAATCACCAGCAGCTATCTGTACAATCCTCTTAATGTCTGTCATTCTTTTTTCTCCACCCTCTTTGCTATTGTTTTAGGACCTTTATGCATTATCTCTTGCTTGAATTATTACAATTGCCAGCCTGGAAGTAACTACTTTAAATTCTTTCAGCTAATTCTTTGGGTATCAAGATTTATATCTTAATAACACATTTATTTGCTACTTCCTGATTTTTTTCTGACTTAAGCTTTATTTATTGATTTGCCACTTTTAAAGATAAAAATTCAGCCCTGTTTTTATCTTCCCCATATTTACTATACACAAATTCCTTCTGAGCACTCAGTCTAGCAATATGCTTTTATTTTTATTAGATCAATGGTCAGTGTCTATACTATTATGACAATGAAAATGCTAATAACCAACTGAGCTGTACTTAGTACCTAACATTGTATTTCCTTTTCTACACATTTTTTCCCTGAAGATAATTTTTATGGTTGTTTTGATTCCTTAACTGTCTACTAAATTGGACAGTATGAAATTAATAGTTTTATAGGACAAAATTATTGAATATTGGCATTATGTGGTTCAAACTGGCATATTCTTTTTATTAACGCCTAATTCTCTCCTAGTTACCCACATATCTCAATACTTTTAGATGAAATGTTCTATCACTTTCAATTTATTGATACCTTCTGATGAATCAAGTGTTTTTTTCATTTTCATCTTCCTGGAGCCTTCTGACTTGCTCGAATCTGAACTGGTTGCCAGCAGGGACACAGCTGTCATCCTAGGGTTCTTTCTTGTGTGTTAGCATCCTAGAGATCTGTTCCTTATATCCTATGGCTTTTTATTTTTCAGTTTATTCCCTCATTTTGAAGGATCAAATTTTCTCATAGCTTCCTGAGAAAGAGTGAACTAAAGGTAAAGTTTTGAGACCTTGCCTATTTAAAACATCTTTATTCATCCGTCACAATTTGTGGCATGGTGTATCATTCTATGTTAAAAGTAATTTTCTTTAGAATTTTGAAGGCACTGCCACAATGTCTTTTAGCTTTCAGTTTGCTAAGAGGTCCAAAGCCATTCTGTTTCTTGATTCTTTGTTTCTGATCAGATATTTTCCTCCGGAATCTTTTCTTTTTCTTAGTATTCTAAAATGTGATGATGTTATGTCATGGTGGATGTCCAATAAGTGTCCTGTTGGACTGGGTACTCCGTGAATACTTTCAATCTCACTGGCCTGGCTTGGGTCACATGCCTACTCCCAAACAGATTGTGGTAAACAGGAGAATGCTGTACTCTGGCCAGTTCTAGGTAATTTGTCCATCCCTGGAACTGATAATTGGGTGGAGGTACATGGACTGACAATATAAGAAGGGAAATTCAGGGTGCTGTTATGAAAAGAAACACAAAAGATTGAGGAGACAAACCTAGAGGCATCCACTGTATAATGTAAACAAACTCTCTGTGTATGTGTAGCTTGATGGAAACCTGATTTATAATCAGGATGCTGAGTTTTGAATGACTGAATTTGCTATTGTCCAAATGATCTAAATGACATTCAGTGATTCACAGTCACCATTCCAAGCATGCAATTTATAATAAAGAGAGAAGTAGTATCTTATATTTTATGGAAAGCTTGATTAACTTTTATTCATTTTTAAGAAAATATGTGAAAATGTCTGGTTAAATGGATTCTATAGATGCAACCATAAATATATTTATTTCTCAAAAGCCTGAAAATATGTGCCCATTTATGTAGTGCTAGTTGATGAAGTAGCCAGGAGCCAAATCATTTGTGTGAAAGAAATGGGACCATGTTCCCAGAATAGACCAGTAGCAGGTCGAGGCAGGAGAATATCTTGAACCCAGAAGGTAGAGGTTGCAATAAGTTGAGATCATGCCATTGCACTCCAGCCTGGGTGACAGAGGGAGACTCTGTCTCCAAAAAAAAAAAAAAAAATCAATGTATGCCTTTTTATATAGTTTTGGTTTGAATCAAGTAAGTATTTTACATATTAAATAAGAAAAGATTAATTTCAAACCAAGAGTCTCTAAAACTGAAAAGATAAACAAATAAGTCTTGCTATATGTCAAATTGCAAACATAACCACACACACAGAAAAAAAAAATTTCCAGTAGATGTAATACTCTGTGCATCCTACTGAGATATAATGAAATATAATCTAAGGAGTAAAGGCCAAGTGTGGTGGCTTACACCTGTAATCCCAGCACTTTGGGAGGCCAGGGTGGGCAGATCACCTGAGGTCGGGAGTTCAAGACCAGTCTGACCAACATGGGGAAACCCCATCTCTACTAAAAATACAAAATTAGCCTGGCATGGTGGCGCATGCCTGTAATCCCAGCTACTCCAGAGGCTGAGGTAGGAGAATCTCTTGAACCTGGGAGGTGGAGGTTGCGGTGAGCTGAGATCTCGCCATTGCACTCCAGCCTGGGCAACAAGAGCGAAACTCCGTCTCAAAACAAACAAAAAAGAAACAAAGAAAAAAACCTTAAGCATCTCTCTGATTTTTATTGTTAGTATAATATTACTATTATAATTTTTAAACCATTATTGCATATTTTTGGGAAAAATACATAAATATTTAAGGAGACAAGATTTTCAGTGTAAGAAAAGGATAACACATAAGTATGAAATCGAAGAACTTACAAAAAAAATCATGTAATGTTGAGTTTGAATTGGAAATATCTCTGAAGGAACTAGGTTCCTTTAAAGAAATGGCTAATTCAAAGTCTGAGGCAGTTAGGTAAAAATAGAGCCTGCAGTGTCTTGTGCCAGAAAGCAAGGAAGTCCTCAAACAAAGGAACTGGCTTGAAGCAGCTTCCATTGACCAAATTTGGAACAAATTAAGCATCTCTAAAGAATAACTAAATGATTATAAAACATTGAATAAATAAAAATCCATGAGTTCTGAGGAGAGAGAGAGAGAGAGAGAGAGTCATTTGCTACAAGTGGAGGAGACATTTATATCAGCATCTTATTCTGAAAATAGGCAAGAAATTATTTACCATGTCATTTCTTTAAAGAACTGTTGAAACCAGTTAATGTGTGAAACCTCTTTTTTACAAAAGAATGTCAGCTTTTTAATATTGAAGAAATAATAGAATTAGAAAAATCATCATTTTGGAACCTCTAATGAAATATTGATTCAGGCAAAAAAGCCAAAATCATTAGGTGAGAAACTGATGGGGAAGAAGATACTCACATAGTGTGTCCAAGTATCAGCTCGCATTACCTGTTAATTGCAAAGGGGAAAAAACTTTGCCTTTAGAGTGGAGATACTGATCACTTAACAAAGTGATCAAACCTAGTGTTACTGACAGACAAGTTGAAACAATGTGACTCCCAGTGTGATCATGCGATCATAGCATCCGTGTGAAGTATCTGTGAAGTATCCCCAACATGCTTACTCTAAATCTAATCAAGCTCTTAGACCCAATTCCCAGTTTACAGGAAAAAGAAGGATAAAAAAGGAACCAGCTAAATGACACCAGGAGGAAACTTCAAATTCCCAAAAAGCAGTTTTTGTTTGTTTGTAGCTAGCAAAGAGTTTAATCAATGAAGCCTGAAGGATCTTTTAGCTTTGAAGGTAGACACACAGGTGTTGCTTCCCTCAGCTTTTACTGTGAGCCTTATTCTTTCATAAAGATAATATGCTGCTGCTGCTGTTGCCGCTGCTGCTACTGCTGGTCTGGGCATTATGTCCAACTGTAAAGGAGTATTCTTATACAGAAAAACAATTCCAATTTCAACATAAAAAAGCAATGTAAACTTGAGAAACATTGAGCTGTACCTAGAACTGATGTCCTTCTTTTCTAAATAGAAGAAGAAATTGTTCTTGTCTAAATACGGGCATTTTGATTGCTTGATTCCACTGATCCCTATTAGCTGCTTGCTACATTAAATTCTCATTGGATGTGCACTTGCCTTCTTTGTCATGAAAGTAATTTAATCTCTAACATTGATTTTTAAAATGTTCTTTGGACTCCTAACTGGATCACTTCTCATTGATGCTGTTACATTGCTATGGCATTTTGAACTTAGTAAATGACATTAAAAGTCACCTTTCTTAAATTGCATTTAAGCTTAGGCGAAATAGCAAAGAAGCATATGCTTTCTTCCTTTCCTACAAAATGAAGAGAGCTTAAACTAAGGGTTCTCTTTGGTTTGGAGGAGAGAAAGTCAGGGAGATGGTAGAGCAGCTGCGTCTTGTTTTTGAGAAAAGAGAAAATTCAGGCTCATACTTTTACAGCTGCCAGGCAGCAAAGCTTCTGTGCAAAACTGCCCTGTTTTTGCCACTGGCAACTCCACCCTTGTTTTTCCCAGAAACACCCTCCAGTTTCCCTTTCTTTAAACTATCATTTTCCTCTCCCACTAGTTAGCAGGATAATTGCTATTAAATGATAACTAAGTAGATTTTCTTATACAGTTTGAAGAAACCAATTAATTTTATAGTCTTGCTACATTCATGTTAAATCTTAGGTAGCATTTCTATCTTTTATATATGGGTACAAGAACTAGGCTAAAGGTAGAGAAACATGTTTACTGCATATGTGAATAGATCGCCTTATAGACTTAACAAGAACTCACCATTTTAGTCTAAGCTAGTAGTTCTCAGTGTGTAGTTCCTGGATTTACAGCATCAGCATCATCTGGGGACTAGTTAAACGTGCAAATTTTTGGGCATCAACCAACTTTCTGAATCAGAAACTAGGGTTGGAGACCAGAAATTTGTTTTGAAAACCCTCTAGGTGATTTCTTTTGCACGCTAACATTTTGGAACTACCTCTATGCCATGAGATTCCCTATATTCCTTTATTAAGTCAGCAAGCATGTTTAAGTGTGTTCTTCGTACTATGATCCGTAAAGAAATAATATAAAAAATCTCTATCCTTAGAGTAGTAATATGGTATGTAAGGAGAACAGAGTTCACACAACAAGCCATAACAGGCACTTCTGATAATCTGCTTTCTCTACTTCTGGGTTTTCCTAGGTAAGGGTCTGTACATAAGAGTGGATGAACCATACTAACCAATGGTGAGGAGGCAAAATTAACATATGTATTTGTAGAAAAGAACAGCTCCGGATGTGGTTGAAGACACCAAGCTTCAGACCCTGAAAATATAAAAATAAGATTTTTTTTTTCTATTTTATATTGAGAAAGAATGGCTAATCAAGAGCATTGAAAAATGGTGGGAGAGATGATAGGCGAGCTGGGATAATCTAGCTTGAAAGGAAAATTAAACTATACACTGTCTACATAAACAGCATTATCTTAGCCTGTTGACTCAGCTGGTTAGAATTCTAAGTCACAGATTGAATTTCCTACTGAGAATGGATGAATATTTTCATTCTCTGACTACAATCTACATCCCGCCTCACAATCCAAGATATCAAATACAGATGGAATGAGGGATGGGTGAAGGATTGTGGATCATTACACATTCATCCCTCTTCAGGGATGAAAGCTACTGAAGGTGGGTGGCAGCACCATCTTTGTAGGAGGTAGTAGATAATAAATGGTAAATTTCTCAAATTCTTTCCCAAAGCTTTCATTGGTATGAAGATTTTTTTTTCCATTTTTAAGGTAAATTTGCCTTTTTAAAGAAAGAACATAATTTCTCAAGGAAAGTTTGTAAGGTATAATTTGTATGACTATGATAATTTTTATGTTATATAACTAGTAAAATGTTTCATTTGGCAAAAATATATCAGCATATAAGCATGTAGCTCTCCTATGCACATTAAATAAATCTTGACGATATTAAAAAATTAGAGGTTAATCTCTTGCATCCTTATAAGGAGACAAAAATTAAATGCCTCACTCTTAAATATAGTAGGTGGAATCCACTAACATTAGCTATGGATGCCTCAAAGTTTCCATGCAAGATCTTGTTTCTAACTAAGCCGTAGGGAATTTCCTCAAGGTAGAACTTGAGCATAATATCTGTTCTCAGCAGATTGTTTTATAAAGTTTTCGAGTGTGAAGTTATCATAAAAGATGAACATAGAGTGGAATACTCATATGCCCAGTTTTTCCCTATGTGTAATGTTTGAATAAATAGGCAAAGTTTATAGTGGATGTAATGATAGTACTGAATGCCAGTGAAAAAAGAGAAAGTTTTCTTTGTATTTCCCCATCTTTTAACACCAGGAAACCTTCCTACATGTTTCAAGGGAAAACCCAAAAGATTGCTTTTTTAAAAATATCACTTTTAAATTATAAAAAAAGGTAGGATATCTATACACACATAAATGCATTCATAAATTAATATCCGGGTACCTCGATCTTGGGCTGTATTCATGGAAATATGCCATGCTTTGTATATGAGCATAATGTCATTTGTCACCTATCATTAAGTCTGTTTTTCTAATACAGGGATGAATAACTGTATGGAAATTTGAACTTACAAAAATATATTTTTAAAAAGCAGTTGATAATACATTGATTATTTAAACTTGATTTTCTAGTATAAAAACAACCAATAAAAAGCATTTTGTTTTCTTTTTGTTTAAGGGGTCATACAGCACTTCAAATGTTCATTTTAAAAGATTTAAAGAGAATACTTTGGTTAAAATATCAATATACTCCATAATAGTAGGGGAAAATAAAAT